AGATTCATAGCTGTAGCCCCATCTCGATGCTAATAGCAATCATGGTCTATTATATTCAAGCTTAGCTGCCGACTCAGTCAGAAAGTGCAGCCCTGCATTTGCTTTCATTTTTTAATGGAGGTGTAATTGAACATCCCATTATTTCCCTCGCAGCAGCCTGAGACATTAAACGGCTCAACCCACAGTTATTAATATTTCAAGCACGACAAAAACACTAACCCGTCACCCCGTGGCAACTCTGTGCGTGAATAAGTCACCGGTCCAGGAGCTTTTAATCTGAAAAAGTGTTTGACGGAGTGGCCTCAGACAGTGGTTGACTGATGGATGCTGGATGAGGGCACTTTATACTTTAATAACGATCTCCGTATTTCATCTGATTGAAATCCTCTAAGGGCTCTCTCTCTCTCTCTCTCTCTCTCTCTCTCTCTCTCTCTCTCTCTCTCTCTCTCTCTCTCTCTCTCTCTCTCTCTCTCTCTCTCTCTCTCTCTCTCTCTCTCTCTCTCTCTCTCTCTCTCTCTCTCTCTCTCTCTCTCTCTCTCTCTCTCTCTCTCTCTCTCTCTCTCTCTCTCTCTCTCTCTCTCTCTCTCTCTCTCTCTCTCTCTCTCTCTCTCTCTCTCTCTCTCTCTCTCTCTCTCTCTCTCTCTCATGTGTGCTGTCTAGTCATTGATCTTTGTCTTTTGTTTTCTGTCCTCAGGAGGTGAGGAAGGTCAGAAGAGGAAGAGGAGTAAACCAGAGGCTTTTCCCACCGCTGAAGACATTTTCTCTAAATTCCAGCACCTCTCACACTTTGACCAGCACCAGGTCACCTCTCAGGTCAGCCTGACTTCCATCAATGAAACCCAACATATACTTATTTTGCTTAAATAGAAGGGTTCACTAGGTAGTGCATATGCTTTGATCACGCTCTCAGACAGTGGAGTAGATTTCAAAGACTGAACTATGAGACACTTTTGCAGCACTAATAATGTGCATTTAAGTTTATTGCACCAAAAGCAGTTTTTCCCCCCCACCCTCTCTCTGACTCTAAATGTGCAGCTGGTCACATTAGCAAAATCTCAGCTGCATTTTGCGGCAAATAAAGGTCTATTCTCAAAAGTGTAGCAATGCATGTAGCAATGCTCACACAGAAGTTGCGCTTCTCAGATTCACAGTATTAAATGGGAAACTAACACAATCAATGATGCAGATTCAAATATGCATCCAAATTTCCAAATTGTACTTTCAACCAGTCAGCTCGCTTTCTTTCTTTCTTTTGATTCTTTATTTATAATGCATTTTAAAAGATAACTATTTTCAATAAAGCCCAAGATCCACTCAGAGTCAAAAGATAAGGAGATTAAAAAAGAATAAAAAAAATTCAATCTATGCAATTACATAAAGAATATAAAGTGATAGAAAAGATACAATTCAAGACCAAAACAAAATACAGATGAGTACATGTATAACTTAAGATCTCAAAAGATTCGCAAGAAGGTCCACCAATCAGCTTTCTGTTGGTCAGTGTGGCAGATTTGTGTGACCAACTTGAACATGAGCGATATCTGCTTAGGGAAAAGTTTTGTCCTCACATGAAACTCCCAATCTCATAGATTCCTATTGAAATGACTGGATTTGCCTGCAAAATTTTGCCAATCTATGGAAAATGTGACTATGCCTTGACAGGTTGTTTTTGCTACTGTGCCTTTAAGAGTTCTGTATGTCAGTGAGCTCTGTTAGGATTGCCTAAACCACACTGAAGCCTGAAGAAACTACACAGATGTTAAATTCTAAACCATTTTTAAAATATTAGGCATCATACGCTTGCCAACTTTGTAAATGGTTACAGAAGAAAAACTGGGAATCGTACACTGAACAACTGGGGATCACACAACCAGACTTTCTAGTCATTCCGAATGCAACAGAATCACATAGAACCATCGCATCGTTGCAATGAAACATTGTATTCTAAAATAATTTCAAAATGTCAAATATGTTTGATCTCCTCCAACTGGATATAATCATTGTCTGGAGCTAAAAAAAAAAAAATCAAGAGTCTGTGCCCAACATACACAACATGATCTTCTACATCATGTTGTGTATGTTGTCCACAAAATTTGTTGATTCCAACAGCCCAATATCTGCAGACTGGCTCTGAATTTCCAGACTGTTCACCTGGGCAACATTTGTATAGTGTATTCAAGCCTACTGATTTAAATTCACTGTAAATCATGACTGTCTGCAAATCTCATTAGCGTTCAGATGTCATTCAGATGGGTTATACTGGTGTGTTTGGGTTCTCACAGGTGTCCAGGAATGTTCTGGAACAGATCACCAGCTTTGCCTTAGGGATGTCCTACCACCTCCCACTGGTCCAACACATCCAGTTCATCTTTGACCTCATGGAGTATTCGCTCAATATAAGTGGCCTCATTGACTTTGCTATACAGGTATGACAGCTGATCCCAAAATATGATCTCTGACTCTCTGTTTGGGGTCATATGAATGCATTAAAATAGTCTGTAATGTGCTGCTGGCCGTTTGGCGGTCTAGATGTTCTCTCTTGTTTAATATAATGCTTGTAAAAGAGAAGTATTATTGCTTCGTCTATAAGTGATTAACTTCAGTATGTGTGGTGTCATGTAGCTGCTGAATGAGTTGAGTCTGGTGGAAGCAGAACTCCTGCTGAAGTCCTCCAATCTGGCGGGCAGTTACACTACAGGTCTCTGTCTGTGCATTGTGGCCGTTTTGCGGAGATACCATTCCTGCCTCATCCTCAACCCTGACCAGACCGCACAGGTCTTCGATGGGTACGTCATATTCATGTCCACCACTCGATAGGATAGTGCTGTCACATATTTTTTTGGAATGACATTAAAGGATAAATTCACTTCCAGAATAAACATTTTCTGATAATTTACTCCCAATGTCATCCAAGATGTTCATGTCTTTCTTTATTCAGTCGCAAATAAATTAAGTTTTTTGGGGAAAACATTCCAGGATTTTTCTCTATATAGTGGACTTCTATGGAGGTCAACTATTTGAAGGTCCAAATTGCAGTCAATGCAGCTTCAAAGAGCTCTACACGGTCCCAGCCGAGGAATAAGGGTCTTATCTAGCGAAACAATTGGTCATTTTCTTAAAAAAATATATTTATACACATTTTTTTAACCACAAATGCTCGGCTAGCATTAGCTCTGCGATGTGCGTCTTTATCAGGTGATGTTGGAAAGGTCACATGTTTACAACATGCCAACATGCAAAAAAAAAAAGTCAAATGCCCTTTACAAAAAAACAGCGATGTCGGACGATTTTTAAAGTTGGAGGACAAAATGAGATGGAGTTTTTAACAGAAGAACACTGACGAAGAACTAACTGCGCGTAACCTTTCCAACAGGATTACGTAATGTGTGAAGACGCACATCACAGAGCTAGAGCAAGCCGAGCATTTGAGGTTAAAAAGTGTATAAATATATATATTTTTTAAGAAAATGACCGATCGTTTCGCTAGATAAGACTCTTAATCCTCGGCTGGGATCATGTAGAGCTCTTTGAGGCTGCATTGACTGCAATTTGGACCTTCAAATCATTGACCACCACAGAAGTCCACTATATGGAGAATGTTTTCCTCAAAAACCTTAATTTCTTTGTGATGGAAGAAAGAAAGACGTGAACATCTTGGATGACATGGGGGTGAGTAAATTATCAGGACATTTTTATTCTGGAAGTGAACTTCTCCTTTAAGCTATTTGGACAGTAATGAATATCTCGTATCATTCTTGGCAGGCTGCGGATTGTAGTCAAGTCTGGCGTGAATCCTGCAGACTGTTCCTCAGCCGAACGCTGTATCCTGGCCTATCTCTACGACCTCTATACCTCCTGCAGTCACCTGAAGAGCAAGTTTGGGGAGATTTTCAGGTGAGAGCAACGAATCCATGCTTCTTTGTAAGTATTTCCCCATATTCCTGATCTCTAATGGTGTCTGGTTTTGTGTGAATTCCCACAGTGAGTTCTGCTCAAAGGTGAAGAATTCCATCTACTATAACATCGACCCATCAGACTCCAACATGCTGTGGGATCAGGTGTTCATGATCGACGCTATCGCTAATCCTACCGCACACAACCTCAACCACTCCATGGTGGGAAAGATCCTCAATGACAGCCCAGCCAACCGATACAGCTTCGTGTGTAACGTGCTTATGGACGTGTGTGTGGACCACCGGGATCCCGAGAGGTGGGCATCTGATTCGGTTGATTTATGTTTAAAATGATTACAAACATTTTATAATTGGGGGGGAAAAAAGCTGAAATAAAATGTAATTGTTAGATGAAAAAAACAAACTGAAAATAAAACTTAAAAATAAATTAAACCCAAATAGTAATATTAAAAAACAATAAGATTGACAAAAGCACATTAAACAAACTAAAAAGAAAATTGAAAATACAAACAATAATATAACTATACTAATCTAAATAACTACAAATAAAAGTGAATTCAGAATATTAATAGAAAGTAGTATTTAAATAATATTTATTAAATATTATATAATATATAAATATTATGTTGTATTATAAGTGAATTTATTATAAATTATATAATATTATTCATATAAATAAAATAATACTGGTTTTGAAAAATAAGCCTTTAATTTTTTTTTAAACCACAATATGAGAAAACAGACCAGTGTTCAGTTAATAATTATCAGATAAGCAGTAATAATCAATAGGTAAAATATTCCAGTTACTTAGCTTGTAGGCAGTTTATGGTAGCTATTAACAATCAATTTTTTTTTATACCATTTTACTACCAAAGTTTAAATTGAAGAATAGAGTAACATCTGTCTTTAACACTTCAAGACAAAAATTGTCTATTTAGACTTTAGTAAACTTCATGGCCAAATAAAAAAGATAATTTAAATCATTAAAATGTGCTGCTATCATAAAAATGACCGAGATGATTTATATAAACACTGCCCTGGGTCCTGTCGCATTATTCTCCGTAAGCATCTTCAGTAATAGCAGAACAGCTGCATGGCATCTGTAGCTGCGCCTGCTCTCCTGCGGTTAGCGAATGCTGTGTGGTTTGTTTCAGGGTGAATGATATCGGGATCCTGTGCGCGGAGCTGACGGCGTACTGTCGCTCTCTCAGCGCTGAGTGGTTGGGAGTGCTCAAGGCTCTCTGCTGCTCTTCCAACAACGGCAACTGTGGCTTCAACGATCTGCTCTGCAACGTTGATGTGAGTCGGCTTTCATCTGTTGCTTTGACGGCTAATCTGTTGTAGCCATGTGATCTCATTTGAACTATTATTTGTGCTGACTAAAACATGTTTCAATTTTTTTTTACTTTTCTATGAAAATACTCCATTATCAAGGTTACCACTAAATGCCTAGTAGTTGCTCTTGTTAACTAGATGTTTCTCAAGTCAATGGATGATTGGTGAAATGTGTAGGTGTCTTAAAGGGATAGTTCACCCAAAAATGAAAAATTGCTGTAAATTTACTCACCCTCAGGCCATCCAAGATTTAGGTGACTTTTTTTCTTCAGTATAACCGTAAAGAAGTTTTTTAGCTGAAACCTGGTCCTTGGCGATTAATAAAATGCAAGTCAGCGGCTACCAATTTTTGAGAGAAAAAAGTATATCAAGGAACAAAAAATGAATACCTGTGGCTCCTGATGATATATTGAGGTCTTATGAAGCGAAACGATTGGTCTGTGCAAGAAACTGAACATTATTTACAACATTATTACCTGTAATCCAGAGCCTCAGGCAAACGGTTTGGAGTGATGTTTGGTTCACGAACGAATTATTCTTTTGAACTGGTTCTTTTTGGTGAACGAGTTGATTCAGTTCTCCAAATCAGTCTGAAGCGTCTGAAACAGTTCGCGGCTCCAGCAGCACAGATCTACAAGTTACTCGATCAAAATTCACTCTGACTGGAAATGAGTCGAAATAGAGGCATATCTGATCCTGTGATGAATGAACTCGTTCAGATTTGTTTATTCACTTTATTTGCTTCAGACATGTAAAACATCCACATTTCACACCATTATTGGGTGCTTTAATAATATGTGACACGTGCTGGCAAAATGAGTCGGAATGAGCAAATTTAAAAAAAAAAAAAATTTTTATTTTCACATTCTCCGTTAATAATACCTTCAAAATGATATATGACTTAATGTTGGAATCGGACAAAAAATGACTGAGTTACAGCCGTTTGAATGCAATAGAGTCAGCAGAGTTGATTTAGAGAAAAATCGAGTTCACCTAGCAAGATTGCATATTTTCCTCTGATTCTTTTCTTAATAATAATTACTATATTATTATTCACAATATAGCTATTTTTTATTTTATCTTTGTTATTAAAAATAAGAACAAAGATGCAAATAAACAGTAGTTTAATCAGGAGCAGCGAGTGATTCTGTCTTTTCTTTTAATGTATGATTAACATTGAGACAGATGTAGATTAAGACCTACTGTAATGCATGGATCTAATATAATGTTACACATCAGATTTTTCCCCAACCATTAACGAAACGTTCATGTAAGACATAACAGATTATGTTTGTGTGGATCTCGCCAAGACATATTTCGCAATGTACTTTAGGGAGATCGCGTCTTATGCACGCGCTTTGCAAATGTCAGTCAGCGGGATCGTTTTGTTTTCATCAGCATGGGTTTGAAAATCATATTTCACTGGTTTGGACTCGTGTCATCGAGAATTCGATATGAATATTCACAAAGCTGGAACGTACTAATAAAAATCATTTTAGATGTTTAATTACTATTTGGAGCATAGGAATTGCTAGAAGAGGGCTTAATGAACAAATTTTTCTGAAAACCTCAAATTCAACCAAAACCATTAGACCGTGCGCATTTCAACTCGTTTTGCCAGCACGGGTCATATATTATTGCATATACGTTACGTCATTGTGTGGTTACATAAACGAACTAGTGAATTGAACAAATTTCATTGAAACGAACTGTCCAAAAAAACAGTTTGCGTAAAAGAATCAGATTTCCCTGTTTGTCTGAGTCTCAGGATTACAGGTAATGATGTTGTAAATGATGTTCAGTTTCTTGCACAGACCAATCATTTCACTTCATAAGAACTCAATATATCGCCAGGAGCCACGGATTGCCTTTTATTTATATAAGATAGACAGGTAGAGACCTAAAGACAGGTAGCTGTTGACTTGCATTTTATGAATCACCAAGGACCACAGTTTTAGCTAAGAATCTTCTTTACTGTCTTGGATGGCCTGAGGGTGACTAAATTAACAGCAAATTTTTATTTTTGGGTGAACTATCCCGTTAAATAGGGTAGCTGTACTAGATGTTCCTGGTGGTAATTGAATGTTTTCTCTTTGGCAGGTGAGTGATCTGTCTTTCCATGACTCGCTGGCGACATTCGTTGCCATCCTGATAGCTCGGCAGTGTTTGTTACTGGAGGATCTGGTGCGCTGTGTGGCCATTCCCTCCCTCCTGAATGCAGGTATGGCTCTTTCAGTTGATGTCCCACAGTATTCCTGCCATACAGACACATAGTCACTGCATACCTCACTCTTGGAGGTGCAGTCGTTACGTTTTTCACAGTTACCTAAGAGAGTTCAGAGAAATACTTTGTCATTAATACGGTTATATTCCTTTCTCGGTCTCTTTTTAAAAATGTGTTTATTTAATCCGGGACAATGCACATTAGTAATACATAAAATCGTTATAAAATGTGCCAGATTTAGACCGGGTGGATCATTTTCATCTGTAGTCCCAGGGCAGGTTGATGTAGAAAAAAAATCGATAACACTTTACTTAAAGCCTTTGTATGCAATGCATTATAAAAGTAGTTTTAATGCATTAATTATGCCTTGTAATGCACCTTGTAATATGTTGTATGATCTCATGAATAATTGTAACCAAAGTTGTTTACATTATAATATTACAATACATTATAACATTTAGCTATTGTGTGTGTGTGTGTGTGTGTGTGTGTGTGTGTGTGTGTTCAGCCTGTAGTGAGCAGGATTCTGAACCTGGAGCCAGACTGACATGTAGGATCCTTCTTCATCTGTTCAGAACCCCACAGCGCAACCCCTGTCCTCAAGACGGCACCAAATCAGGTAACAGCTCCCTCCAAATAAAGTAAATCACACTCTCTTTTACACATCCCACCTGAACGACTCTAGACAGTAACTATAAACCTGAGAATAATATTTCTGTCTTCAGACAAATCCACAGTGGGCATCAGATCGTCCTGCGACCGACACCTGCTGGCTGCTTCTCAGAACAGCATTGTGGTGGGAGCCGTGTTTGCCGTGTTAAAGGCTGTTTTCATGCTGGGTGAGACTTTGGGTACTTTTCTGTTGTGTATTCAAGTTTTAGCCAGTCAAACAGGTGATTATAGAAATAGTTCACCCAAAAATTAAAATTTGCTAAAAAATAAAAAAATGTACTCACTCTCAGGCCATCCAAGATGTAGATGAGTTTGTTTCTTCATCAGATTTGGAGAAATGTAGCATTGCATCACTTGCTCAGCAATGGATGCTCTGCAGTGAATGGGTGCCGTCAGAATAAGAGTCCAAACAGCTGATAAAAACACCACAATAATCCACAAGTAATCCACACCACTCCAGTCCCCATCAGTTAACAACTCGTGAAGCAAAAAGCTTTTGTAACTTCAAACTGTTGTTTCCATCAAGTCCATAATCAATAATACTGCTTTCTCCAGTGAAAATGTTGTCTCATCTGAGCCAGGAGAGAAATATGCACTGATTATATAAGCAAAAAAACAGTCCTAAACAAATATTTGATTGGATTTTGATGTGAGAGGACAACAAGGGATGGACGTTTTCCCTGGAGAATGTTTTATTATGGATGTTGGACTGGTATTTTGGCCAAAAGCGACAGTTAAAAGTTAGAGCGCCTTAATGATGGGTTTGTTTCCTACAAATGCAGCTTTACAAGATGTTAACTGATGGACTGGAGTGGTGTGGATTATTGTGGTGTTTTTATCAGCTGTTTGGACTCTCATTCTGACGGCACCCATTCACTGCAGAGCATCCACTGGTGAGCAAGTGATGCAATGCTACATTTCTCCAAATATGATGAAGAAACAAACTCGTCTTGAATCGCCTGAGGATGAGTACGTTTTCATCAAATTTTAATTTTTCAGTGAACTATTCCATTAAAATGTCTTGATGATCATCCAGAAGATTGAACTATATCCAGTAATTGGAAAACAACACAAGAAGACCAGAAAAGGCATGAAATTATTTAGTAAAGGAGAAGAAAGCCAGTTGTAGTGGGAGATGGAGCTAATGGGACCCAGCTGGCAGTTTATGCATTCAGAATTGATTGGTCCCTTAAAAACTGTGACTTTGTGTTTATTTCTCCAGGAGACGCTGAGCTGAAGGGTTCGGGCTTCTCCCACTCTGCTGGATTGGACGACATCGGAGAGGATGACATGGGGTCCAAAAAATCCGGAGGACGTAATGTCTCGATTGAAACGGCCAGTCTGGTGGTTTATGCCAAGTATGTGCTGAAGAGCATCTGCCAACAGGTGAGGGTTTTAAGAGGATCATATTCTCATCCTTGGAGGAGTTTTAGCGGTTATAATCCATATTGTAATATCAGTATAGACTAAAGTTGTGAAGATAGAAACACATTTTTGAGTGACGTCCTAAACACTGGCTTAAAAATGAGAAAATGCTTCACCTGTGCCCTCACTATTACCCAAAATTGTTTCTGCCAGACTAAGACTCTAAAGGTGATCAAGATCAGCAGCACACTGCTCCCTTCCAGTTGAAAAATGTAACTCTTTTCTTCGCTTAAGATTTAATTTAGCTGTATTTTCTCTCTGGTTCAGGAGTGGGTGGGTGAGCGGTGTCTGAAGTCTCTGTCGGAGGACAGCAGTGCTCTGCAGGACCCAGTGCTGGTGAACATCCAGGCTCAGCGCTTGCTGCAGCTCATCTGTTACCCACACAGGCAGCTAGACAGCGAGGAGGGCGAGAATCCTCAGAGACAGCGCATCAAACGCATCCTGCAGGTCACACACTCTCACATGACCCCATCAGAACATCTGCTCCTGAGCTGACGGAGCTTTTTATAGTAGTATAGGGTGAATTTTTAGATTTTCACATTACATCTAAACTATTAGTTTAAATAAATTGAAATATTACTTTAAGTTGTACAATGTTTCCCTTTAATTACCTAGACCATGGCGGCCTAATCTGCCCCAAAAAGTAGAGTATGCACACTCTCAAAAAATCAATAAGTCACAAGCGAGATGAAAGCGGTGTAAGCAATTTACTGAAAAAAACAAGGCAAACGTTTCGGTCACGTTGACCATTTTCAATGCCAAGTTAACAATGTTGGAACTAGGAGCCATCCTGATTAAAGAAATCACATGATGATTTAGGAGATCACATGATCAACCAGAACAAGCACTGATCTAAAAAAAAAACAAAAAAAAACACACAATTGATCAATATGCTACAAAAAAAAAAAAAATCAGTCAATCAACATATGGCCTAATCTGTCCCACCACAGTTTCATACTGAACCAGTATAATAGCAAAAGACCTCTAACATTGTGTTTAGCGCTGTTGCTTTGGCAAAGTATCTATCATTTAATTCATTAGGCTGCCAAATTAAAATGACTGTGAAGTGTATTTAATTGGATTGTACGGTTTTTAATGTAAATAGACAATGGTTTTATTCAGAGGTGTGTCTAACTGATATATTTAAAAATGTATCACCTGAATGTATTTTAGAATTTTCGTCTAGTGTACATCTGAAATGTCTTTTAGAACCTTTTGTGAATTGTATACCTTGTATAATTTATTCAGAGATCGCCATGAAAATAGCCTTGATGTTAACGTGGCGTTAAAAAGTGAATAAATAAAATTAATTAGGCTATATATTTTAATGTGTCTCAGAGCAGCTCGGTTCACAGTAAATGCAGAAAACTCAGTCTCTGCATGTGCTGTGATATTTAAATGTAATTTTATTATTATATTTAACTGGTTTGGCTTCCTAAAAATACCAGTGTGAATGTGATGTGGACTGACACTGTCACAACAAAAAAATAGGTTTTTAGTCCACTTTAAAGCACTGCAAACAAACTGATAAGGGATTTTCTAACTTTTAGATGGTTTGGTGTCCACCCACCATAGTCACACAGAATTCTGGGAAAACACTGCAATATACTATATTTATACACATTTAGGGAGGAGTGTTCTGACAACCTGTTTGAAAACCGTCATTGATTTTGCAGTTCCATTTGGTGATGCTCTCAGTGCAGAACATATACATTTCAGCTTTAAAACCCAGTAGACCAGGCCTGCGCACATGAAGGGTGTTTTAGACATCGCTGTTAGCGATGGAAGAGCAGCAGAGGATGAACAGACAGTCATTTCCCCGAGCTTAATTATTAATTTCACACCCTTTAGCCTTTAAGCCATTAATGATTTGTGTGGGTCTCACAGCAGCTCATTATTCTGGATTGGTTTTCATCTTCATAGACTGTGAAGATGGGGCCCCTCGCAATTAACATCCAGCTGGGGCTCTTAAGCTCTGCTTTGATTGCTTTAAAAGCATTCTTTCCATATTCTGTCTGTTTTTCTGCTTACAGAACATGGACCAGTGGACCATGAGACAGTCCTCTCTCGAGCTGCAGCTCATGATCAAGCAAAGCTCGAATAACGTAAGCCGAAGCGTGTTTGCTGAGTTCATCTCCGCTTGATGATTTCTCTTCTTTTCTTTAAGATTTGTACATCTGAACCCACTCTTTGCAGGAGCTGTATTCTCTTCTGGAGAACATAGCCAAGGCCACCATTGAGGTTTTCCAGAAGTCTGCTGAGATGAACTCTAGTAACCCCACCTGGAATGGCTCTGCGGTTTCTGGCAGCTCCGTCTCCAATAGCAACAGTGCCAGCAAACTCAAACCTGTGCTCAGGTCGGTGACCCCAATCATTGCTCTGTGCTTTTATTTACTTTCAGCTTGATGGAACTGATGGACTGGCCTTCTCTTGTTCAAACAACACCAATCAATGTTCCTATCAATGTGTCTATGCTGTAAGAAGAGAGCGGTGCCCTGCGTGTTTCTCAAATACTTTTGTTATTGTTGTGTTTCCTCCAGTTCCTCCGAGCGTTCAGGGGTCTGGTTAGTGGCCCCTCTGATTGGTAGGCTGCCCACCTCAGTGCAGGGTCACGTGTTGAAGGCCGCCGGTGAAGAGCTGGAGAAGGGACAGCACCTGGGACCCTCCTCAAGGAAAGAAAGAGATCGGCAGAAACAAAAAAGGTACTAGACTTTTAAGCTGCTGCAGCATTTACACTGTTGCTTTTCTCTTGATGTTTAGCGCCTCAAATGTACCTAAACATGTTGACTAGATATGCTGCTCCCTAGTTTTTTTAAACGAAGTTGGTTCTAAACCAGGGGTGCCCAAACTCGGTCCTGGAGGGCCGGTGTCCTGCAGAGTTTAGCTCCAACTTGCCTCAACACACCTGCCTTCAAGTTTCTAGTATGCCTAGTAAGAGCTTGATTAGCTGGTTCAGGTGTGTTTAATTGGGGTTGGAGCTAAACTCTTCAGGACACCGGCCCTCC